ACTCTTTCCAAAAAATCTTCTCATACTAGGTGTACTGGAAGAGGCTGAATTCTACAATATCACATCCCTAATAAAACTGGTAAAGGACAAAATAAGAGAAAGAGACAGCAAAATCTCACAGGTGAGGCTGTTTTCCAGTCTGGTTTTGGTTATTCTATGGTGAGAAATGGGGAGGTTCCATTTTTTTTCCTTAACTGCTGATTTCCCTGGTGAGGTACCCAATGGCTGCCTCCATCACTGACCGAGCTGCAACCATTCTCTGTAAAGGTCAATGCTCTTAACTGCCCATACCTGCCAGTCTGCTTGCAAAGGGTGCAGGCACATGGTTCCAGTGCTTGTTCAAAACCTGAAAACATTCTAAAGAATTGTTCAGAAATGTCTGGTAACAGAGTTTGTCATAATATTATTTCTGGAAATAGTTATTTTAGAAAACAGCTTTTGTGGCATATATTTTTCTCATATCTGTTTAGATGCTGTGAATGTGACGAGGTTGCCTGTTTACGCAGCAGACGTGCAGGTGCTCGTCCTGTGCTTTCGCAGCAGTTCGTTCCGTTATTCGCAGTGCTCTGTAGTTGAGAAGTCTCTGCCTCTTCTTGTAGCAGCACACGAGTATTTCTGCATGAAAGTGAATATGATAGAGAAACTGTTAAGAAAGTATTCAAGTTTGCTCTTTAACTCTGCTACTCTGGCCTTCCCTGATAATCAAGTCTTGATGGAGATGTTACAAACTCATGCTGACAAATTTCTCTCGAAGCCAGGCTGTGGGATAGCAGAGTTGCTCTGACAGCATTTTCTAAAGCTTCAGTGGTCCTAGTTGTTCATTGCTCCAGATGGGAGACTTTGACAGGGAAATAAAGACACTTTTGAATATGGTCAGACATTCCTTAAAGCTAGGTAAGCCTCTGGAGAACCTCAGCCTTGGCTTCGAGTAATGTGGTTTGCTACCACATGGAATGGTAGCTAAGTCTTAAGGGTATTTTGTTGTAATTGTTAAGTAGCACTTCTAGTCCCTGCGGCATTCATGGGGCACTGAGTCTCCTGCAAGGTGATTCTGAACGGATGAGGTTTCTTTAAAAAAAAGAAAGACGAGGTGTTGAAGGTGGTGGTGCTCACCATTTCTACAGAGTAAGGGCAACTTTAGACAGGTCACAGACAGTGAATTCTGTGCTGTACTGAACATCTTGTATTTCTTCTTGAAGGTGCCAGTCAAACACGTGTACAGGGTGCTGCAGTGCCAGGAAGAGGAGCTCACTCAGATGGTTTCCACAATGTCCGATGGCTGGAAATTTGAACAGGTAAAAAACCCATATGGGATATAATTACAAAGTCTTCTAGAAATTGACTTATGTGAAAGAGGAATGTAAAGTCAGTGCTATGCATCTTTTTAAGAGCGGTCATTTTCAGAAATGGGATAGATGAAGATACACAGTTAAGTTAGAATTTTAACTTTGTGTTCTGATTTGTCAGAGAACAAAAAAACTGTAGCTGTCCAGGAAGTAAATTGTGCTAACGTTCTATAAAACCCCTATATCGTGTTTGAAATGGAATTCTTTGGTGTCTACACACGAGCATTTGAAGGGTGAATAAACTAAATTAACTAATACAAGCTTGTATGAATGGTAGGTCAGATACAGAGAGCTCTGGGTGAGAGAGATGAGCCTGGGAGATAAACGTCTGTCGGGCCCGGACAGTGGCTCTTCAGATGCACAGAGGAGGGTGAACTAAACCGGCGCGGATGTGAAGCTGGATAGGTGTGAGCCACGTGAATGTTTTCCTGTTTTGCACTGCACAAAGATAGCTTTGTGTGTATGCTCCAGAACACAGTGTAAAACTGCACGAAGATCTTTGTTTCCTTTGCTAATCTCTGCAAAGGAGAAACTACTCCATGGCTTCTTCATCCTTCACGGTCCTAACCTACCAGAATATTTAAACTGCCTTGGAGCAATGAATCTGGTAACCCTGGAGCGAGACACAAGTGCTCAGCTGCCAGCATCTTGCTCCGTGCCTGGTGCCAGCTGTAGGGGAGGCTGGAATAAGCACGAGCCCCTCATCCTGTGCAGTCTCACTCCAATAACAACAAGGCAACATTTTTAGAAAGTATGGCACACAAAGGTAAATGAGAATGTTTTGTTCCTATTTGATGAAACCTGTAAGGTGCTGGTGTCGTGGAGACAGCCCTGATCAAATCAACTAAACCAGCACAGGGAAAGCTTCTTGTGCTTCAGTTCTCCAGCTCATGTGTTCCCCAGTCTGCTTGGCAGGCCAGAAGCCGAATGTTGTTTACATCCCTGAAAAAGCTCTCACTCAATGCACGTGACTGCTTTTTGCCCAGCCCATTGACAAAGTTTTTTTTGACATTATTCTTTGTCGTCAGAAACTGCCTCTCATTACAAGTAGAGATTATTTCCTTCTTCACAGATTAAATGCCTGTCCTAAAGCCTGGTTTTCTTTGGGGATGTTGTGTCTGGGAGTAATACTGCTGCGACAGTGCAACTGATGAAGGAATTGTTAAGAGTCTCTTTGAGAACTTAGAATCTCTTTTAGAACTGGAAAGTTCTGGTGGTTTTCTTGAACGTTACGTCCTCGTTTCATCCAGCTTTCCCCCTGCTCCCTCCTGCCCCCGTGTTGCTCTCTTGGGCACACGAAGCAGATGAGCCCAGCAGCTGATGGCCACCCCTCTCTTTGCTTGTGTCGCAGACCTGCTTCTAGCAGATGTTGTTCCCTCGAGACACGATTAGGATATGCTGTATATTCTAAACAGCTTTATCATTAAGATTTGAGAGCACTTGAGCATTCCTGTAGTTTTTTATATGCCCGTGTTGCTCAGCAGCACGCTTCCTTTGGAAGCAGTCTGGGGCGGCACCTACCGCACTTTGCATATATTATCATTGGCGGGATGGAAATGATCGGCTTTTCAGAGGAGCGGTGTTCCTCGGGGTTGAGAGTCCCTGTGCCCCATATAATATGTTTAAGTGGTTCTTTTTGATCAAAAATATTTCTTTCCCCTTAACAGTTCAAAATTTTCTTGTAAAATACGATCAGATGTGGTGATTAAATAGGAGTGAGAGGTGCTAAACCTCTGGTGCACTTATGCAAATCTGTTGATGCACTTTTCCAAATAACGTGAGTGGGAGCAGTGCTAGAACACTGCAGTTACGTATCAGTCCCAGTCCAAAACCTACTGCCAGTAGCTGCGCTGCCCCACTTCCGTCACTCCAGGGGGTTATTCTGTAGGTGATTTTTAGCTTCAGTTTTACCTCTTCAGGCAATCAGGAGAAACAGCACCTTGGCGACACTGCATAACAAGAAACTTTGGGCTATACAGAATTGCTACAAGCAGAGACTGTGGGCAGCAGTGGTGTGTCAGTGATGGAAATTTTAATGATTAGTGAAACCTGAGTCTGTCACTGCAATGCTGTCTGAAATACGTTCACTGTATGAGGACGACGGTATTTAGCTGCTGCCTTCAAAATTACTCACATAACAATAGCAGGATAAAAATAAATTTACTGTTCACGAGCCTTCCCATCAGCAGGGATCTCCTGTTCACTCAGAATAGGCAGCTGCTGTCTGGCCCTTCACACTTAACTCAAAGCTGCAATCTTTCTTGAGTGCACTGATGGGGTATGCTTTAATTGAAATGGGGTAGGAGTTGTCATTAAGATAAAATATCTTTTGTAATAACAAGTTGAGAAATTTCGCTGAGGTTGCTCTGAACTTCCGAATTATGGGACGTTTGGCGAGTGTGAACAGAGTTCCTGGTACTGATTTTTATGGGAACAAGACAGACAATTTTTTCCACTCCAGTTCTTTTCTTGTATCTTCTGTAAATTCCAATTTAGAGCCCTCAACTTTTTTTTCCTCTAGTTGACTCCATAGGTTTCCTTAGCTGGTTTTTGTTTATCAATGTCTGAACAAGACGAAGCTCTTTCACCCCCAGGCGTGATACATTGCTTTACGTGGCACCTTCCAGTTTTATATCCACATTGCCTTCTGCACTTGGCAAGTGTGGCAGGAAGACAACGCTCGCTCTCATAACACACCAAACTTCGTTTATGTTTTTCAGAGTAGTTGACTACACCACAGGGACACGGGGAGTTTTCTGACTTACTGTCAGGAACGCTTAACTTCCCTTGACATGACACAGGGCTTTGCAGCTGCCTCTGTAAACTTTAAGTATGTTGAAACAGAAGTTGTAGCTCGATAGCAACCTGTTCTAGTGGCGAGCAAATGTTACCGGGATATTTGAGCTCCTCTGTTGTTTGTGCAATTTGGATAACGGTATGTGCTCACTGCAGGGGGGTTGGACTAGATGACCTCTAGGGGTCCCTTCCAACCCAAAACATTCTATGATTCTATGATTCTTTGTGCTTCAGCTTTACAAAGGTTTCTTTTTGTGTTTTGCTTTGATTGGTTATTTCAGCTTGTCAGTATAGGTTCCCAGTACAGCTGTGGCCGGGCCCAGCAGGCAGAGTATCTGCTGATAGTGTCACGGGAGGTGAAAGGGGAAGAGAGATGCTTCCAGAAACGCTGCAGTGAGGTGTGTCACACCATTCCTTTTGCCCTCACACTGATTTGCTTGGCCTCCTTGCGTTTCTGCTGCTTTCAAATCATTCCACTCTATTCCTGGATGTACAGCCCATAGTAGTTTGTGTGTATTTGTGACTGGCTTTTATTTACATTCACGGTATTTCATTATACATTATGAATGTTCATATTGTAAAAATAAACAAACAAACGAGCCCCCCCGAGTTGTTTGGTTAAAGGTTTTTCTTCAGAAGAGTCCCTGCCTTCCCAGTAGGTAACTTCTTTTCCTTAAATCTCCCTCCAGAATTAACAGCCTTTGATCCATACTTGTTAAGTAAAAGCGGTACCATTTAAACATTAGGAGCCCTGTAACTAAAGCTTTGAGCTCACTGGGTTCAGGAAGGGCGACTTCGGTGTTAATCATTGCTCCAGCCTGAGTTTATTTCACCCACCTAATAGCCAGTTAAGCTCTGAGCCTGAACCCTTCATTTCTGGTAACTCACAACTTAACTGGTTTTTTTAGGTGGATGAAATACATTCAATGGGAGCAATGAATGCCAGAAATTTTCAGAAATAAAGTACGGAGGAGAGTGGGGAGAACAAAACCAGCACTTTCAAATCTTGTCTCACGTGGAAAGAGCATCTGGGGGGGTTGCTTTATTTTTGTTGTTTTGGCTTTTTTACCCGTTTGGGAAATTTCCTTGGAACCCAAATGAAGAATCACGGTGGCTTTTTAGGTTGTCCCATCCTTCCTGCTCCCCTTGCCCTCAGGTCACTGCTTTTTTCATTGCTGTGTTACTCCCCAGTGTCCGAGAGCTCGGGAAGGATTTTTTGCTAAGCAATAACATTAGAGGCAGCTTCCAGTTCTTAGCACAGCTGGGCCCCGTGTTGAAGTGTCTTATGTGAACTGATTTGGGAGCCTGGTGTTCTGCAGCATTTTCCATCGATAAAATACTCAGAGTACTTGTTCTTTTCCTTGCTGTGCATGTGGTTATTCAGTCTGAAAGGTCAGTGCAACGCCATGAAGGTAACATGACAGCAGAGTCACTTGATATGAATGGAACCTCGCCTGTGAGTTCACATGGATGCTCGGCTGTGCAATTCTAGATTTTGAACCCAGACCATTGCCTAGCTGTATTCCAGACCTGCTTTCAATGTACCAAGCCCTGTGTGTTTCTTGCAGTTGCATAGGTAACATTTGGAACGTGGAATTAATGCACTGGCTTTGCAGGCTTTCTGGAACTGAGTAGGAAAGGGAATGTGGCCTGTCGATAAGGATGTGTGGGGTGCAGGCAGCGCGATGTGTTGTTCGCATCCTAGATAGCTCAAAGTAAAATTTAACATGATAAAATGGGAGATGAGGGAAGGGAGTGAAGAAATGAAGGCAGGTATAAAATTAAAAAAAAACCAAGCCCACAACAAAAAAAAACCAAACAAACCAAAAGCATGCAAGGGAATTAATTTTCTTTCCTCCTAGATTTGAAGCCTGCCAATTGCATTAAGAGACCTTGGGGTTGTAGTGTCAGTCATTGGCGCTGAGTTTAACGGCCAATACATATCTTTATAGCCTTTTGCAAATGTTTCAAGGGGGCAGAAGAATGAATGCGTTCTAACTCTGAAAGGCATAGAGGCCGTTCTTACATTCATACAACTTTTTTCTTTAAAAAAAAATTGAGGGGAAGACTTTCTTTTATTCCACCAACTATTAGTTAGTATGATTTAAAAAAGACGAGCTTTCCAAGACAAGCTTCCCCAGTGTACAAGGGGTTCACCACCGGAACAGAAGCAGTAATATTCAGAGCATAAGGATATTTAAAATAGAACTTGAGAATAATTGTTATAAAATTTACTCAGTTTGGAGAAATAGACCATCACAGAAAGAGAAGGAAATTGATGGTGATGAAGCAGACGAGGTAGTTAATAGGAGTAACTCTGGTGGGAAGCAGAGAAAGACAGGGATGCTGCTAGTGCGCGTTGGAGGGGTTATCTGTGACGGTAATGCTACTGTTAATGCGCCCTGTAAATGTGCTGTATAGCTCCTGAAGCGATACGGTTTGACCAGTGCAGCAGATCTGTATGGGCACGTTACTGAGATGGGGCTGCTTTGGAGATCTATTTCAATGCACTTAGACATGAGATTTGTTCACTTCAGAAATAAGGTTCCTAGAATTGATGCGCCGACCATTTTGCCTACTCATAGGCATATTTTTAGGTACAGTCATTGATTTAAGACAGGAAGAGATTCATGCATTTTGCTGCCATTGAGTAACTTGACGCAGGAATCACCTGACCTGTTTTCTCAGCTGTACCCCTTGTATCATCTGTTTTTCTTAACTGTATCTTTCAAAAAAGACTATTTACCTCCTCACAGAGCTGCAGGCTTAGGAAGTGTTCTTCAGAAAGTTACTTTATTATTGTCCCTGAAATCATTCTTAAATCTTTAATCTTTCCTCTTTAAAAACGAACCTGACCCTAGCTAGGCATCAGTAGTCTCTGTCCACCTTTACTTATGCCAAACTGTTGGGTTTGGTTTTTTTTAATATTGCCCTTTCTGATTGGCATCTTTTATCTTGCTTAAGAGTTCAGGCTCTATGAGACAGGAACATCCCTGTTGTTATTTCTTTGTCTTTTCAGGAAAATCCTGACCTGCAAATACCTGTATGTCTGTTGATATAATAATAATAATAATAATAATAATAATAATAATGCTTTCTGCTCCTGCCTCTTCTAGTTGCAGCAGGCAGCCCACTGGTGTGTCAGTACCCCTGTTCCATGCAAACAGCGAATGGATCACGATCTAGGTCATTTGCTGGGATAAGTAACATTAGCATTTTCCTGTGCTTAGTTACAACGCTGTTGGGGCTGACAGGGCCGCTCGAGCAGGACCACGCTGCTTTAGTAAGGAGTGTGATGAAAGAAGCCGAGGGAGGAAAAAGCCAGTGAGGAAAAATACATACATGCGTGTATACTTGTGTATATATATTCATCCAAATCTATGAAATTCAGAGTTTTGGAATGTTCTTTTTTTCCTGCCTTAAGTTCTTGGTCATTAAAACTCTCTCTGCTACTTAAGCCCAGTGAGCCACGATGAGTTTGTCCTTTCAGGAAGTCTGAGAAGCAGGAGGCTGGATAATCTGAAATCCTTTTTCTATGCATTGTAACGCATGCTTTGCAGACCTCAGATTACTCTGATTTGTTATGGGTTCTTTTTCTGGGGGGAGGGACTGATGATTCAGCTGTTGTTTGGATCTTGTATCTCATCTGCCTTCAGAGAGGTTGTTTCTTTTTTTTGAGTGTCAATGAGTAAAGAAGTATTTTTCATTCTGGTAGTTGTTCTCATAGCTTATCTGATACCAAGTTCTTGCCATTTTGCAAGAAGAGGAGTTGACTGTACATTAAATCAAATCATACACTTTAATTTTGTTCTTCAGATTTCTCTTCACAGAAGGTGAATTGAACGTGGCTTTATTTAAACAGGTGTCCAGCTTCTTGAATGTTTTCTAGCCATTAAGTGAGTTAAAAATACTGTTTAAATAGTCCTACATTTTTCCTCAGTAATTGAAGCAGTTACTGTACCTGTATTAGGTGGTTTGTAATTGCTAGGTATTATGTAGGATAAACTTTACACCACTTTAACAGGCTTAAAGCCAGCTTAACAGCTTTTTTTGCTGAAAATTTGTGCATGGTATTTTTTGGTGATAGGGAAGAGAACCGACAAATCATCTCTATATATGAAGTAAGCCTGGGTCAATTTTCCAGGTTATCAGTGGACTTTCATAGTCCATTTTGTGCAACTGAGCAAGCAGTTACTTCATGGGTTCTGTGATTCTGTATTGCACAGCTGAGGTGCAGCCTGCAGGGTGTCCGTTGTGACAGATCATCTCACCTAACAGCTCAAGAGGAACAGAGCCTTTGTGTTCCCGTGAGGATGTTATTGGTGCTTCTGAAAAACCTGGGGGTTTGTAACTTCATTACATGGTTTTGGTGGAGAAAATGTCTTTATCGCATTCATTTTTGATCAGCGTGTGTTCATTACTGACTGTGTCTGTATCTTGCAGAACTAGAGTGATGTTAGGAGTGGAGGAGGGAGGGAGAGATTCCTGGTGATCACACCCAGATGGTGCAGTTAAAGTAGGTGGTTTGGGAGTGCCGAATTCTGATCACCAGTGCTGTTCATTGGAGGCTGAGCCTTGCACACTGTAATGCCGTCAGGGTCCAAAAACGTTGCCACTGCCTAGGCCTGGTATCAGGCTGGTTCACTGCACAGAGGTACTGCTGCTGCTCATTGTAGGCACTGGCTCTGTCCGTCCGGGGCAGTGCTTGCTTGGCTGATCCTAACGCAGTGCTGGAGCATCTGAGCATCTCTCTCCTTCAAAGTGTGATGAGGCTTTATTCTCTCCTGGCATTGCTGTATGGAAGCGGCTTTTAACCTTGGTCTACCTTCCGCTTTTGTTGGGAAAATTATTTCATCCTTCAAGTACAGATCCTGGACCAAGATTTCATCTTGGCTGCACCTTCCTTGCTTTAACAAGGCTTTAACCCTTTGGTGCTCTGCTAGGCTAATGGCAGTACGCAGTTTGGTGTTAGGCAGATAAGTACAGTTTTTCAAATGCTGTTGCCCAAAAAGCGAGTCAAGCCTTTTCTATGGGGCATTACTAGGGCACTTCATTGATACAATAGAGACTGGGGAAGAGAACAGCCTTAACACGTGTGTGGTGGCTTGGTGGGAAGAGTTAACACGGGTTTGGTAATGACCTTTAGATACAGCGTATCTGTGCAACAGGGTGATTCGTAGGACTTTGATCTGTGTCAGTAGTGATAGCACCATACATTATCTTGGCATGCTTTTGAAATAAACCTTTAAAATAAGTGAACCAGCTACAGCTGAATTGATTCTGGCTTGGAAGGGCAGGCTATGTAGAGCTGCTAGCATTAGGTAAGTGTACTGTGGGCAAGGTAAGACAAGTGACATGAAATTGCTGCCTTTTGATAAACGTGCTGTGTACCAGGTGGTACTGATGTTCAGTATGTCCTTCTTTCTCAGTAAATTGTCATTTTTCAACATCGAGACTTGTAGAAGCTTGTAAATACGTCACATTTCATTACACATGGCTTCCGCTTGTAGCACTTCCTTAATTGACTTCCCTGTAGCAGTAATATGAATTTCAGATGTTAATCTCTGTGTCTTGCCATACTGTGTCTTGCTGTTTTCCAATCAAATGCAAATTTTGTCTTTGTCCACTCAAAATGTGTTTTAATAGAAGTACCGTTATGCTGTAAGCAAATGGTGGGTATTCCTTCAGGCTAACGTGCTTCCTGCATGCGGCCATTTACGTGTTCAATCATGCCACGTTAAGATACCACATACAGACTTTTTAAAAATTAACTTCGGAAGTTTGGATGGGATGGTTTCTATTAAATAACCGGCACAGGGGACAGGCTTCTACTCCACTGGCCTGCCGCTGTAGCCTGTTCTTTCACAGTATGATCATAACCGTAAATCACTAGTCCTGAAAACATTTAAAAAGAAAAGCTATGTTTATCTTATCATCAGGGCATCACTGTATTTGTCAACATCCAAACGTATCTGCACTGAAGCAGAGAATCCTGCCTCAGGCACAACCAGCAGTCTGAGGAGCGGGGCGTGTTTGTACCAATGATGAGAACTGGCAGAATATGCTTTATGTCGAAATGCAATTGACTTTTTTTTTCTTTCCCTCCCATCTTTCAGCTGGTCAGTATTGGTTCTTCCTATAACTATGGCAATGAAGATCAGGCCGAATTTCTGTGTGTTGTCTCAAAGGAATTGCATAACACTCCCTATGGCACAACCAGTGAACCCAGTGAAAAAGCAAAGGTAGGTTGCTAGACCTTGGACTAAAGAAGTGGTGTCAGATTGGGTGGGCTTCACTGCGTCATGCTAGGCCTCCCTCTGCTGTGGACCGGTATTTAATCAACCTTTTTTCCCCTCCTCGTGACTAATAATGGGTCCCTGTCCCTTGTTTGAGAGACTGTGAGCGGTACAGTCAGCGTGCATTTGTTACACGAATGGGTTCTTTAAAAGCAATACCCTGTGCTTTTCCTGATGCTGCTCCTGTTTTTTCGAGTATTGGCAGACATTTGCTGTTTACAGTTGAGAATCTAGGTTTTGTTTCTTACACATTTGAATGCTTCCTTATTCTGGTTTTGTGGCCTGACTTCAGCTGAAGAAACCTTACTGTCAGGAATGGAGATTGTAATACGCTGTCTCTGAAAAGCACAGTCCTCTGCAGTCTCTTACAAATGAAGGCATTTGTTAGCTTAATGTTTCCAGGTTTCTGCCTAGTTCTTTCTACTTCCTGTGGAATTCCAGAACCTGAAAGCCACCTTCGTCAGGAGTAGTAGCACATCTTCAGGGAGCTTCAGAAGCCGCCAGAGTTACAGTGCATCCTTAATGGAAGAGAAAATACGGATCAAATGAAACTATTAAACCCTAAATACAAAAGCTCATTCGGAGTGCAGTACAGCTCTGTGAATTCAGTAGCTCTGAGAAGCTAAATCTCAGACCTCTCCATTTAAGTGCTTCTCTGTCATTGCTCAGAGAAGAGCGCAGAGCAGCATTTGACCAGGGCGATGAATACGAGTTACTGTTGATTTTGGTTGCAGATACAAACATTCACTCCTTTTGTCCTGGAAGACTTGAGCTGTTGCTAGCAATTAATGGCAATACTTGAAGAATCATTTGTTATATATTGTGTTTCTCATAGATCAATTATTTTTTATAGGTGTACGGTGTGCCTGGAAAACAAAAACAGAAAAAAACCAAAAAATTTCTTTTTGGTTGAGAGGTTTGTGACAGCTGTGTTCAGGAGCCTTGACTGGGCCCTGGGAGCTGTTGTCTCAGTAGTTCCCCCTCAGCCAGCGTTAGTCCTCTGGTCTGCAGTCTGTTCGTTAGTGTCCGACTTGGCCTTCATGAAGTTCATATGATTGAAATCCAGGTATCCAGTGATGGACATAGAATAATGTGTTCGTGTACTGGGACTGACTTTTAGAAGCCATGAGAAAGTCTTCCTATTACTTTTACAGCAGGCTGGGTTAGAGAAGGGAAAAAACCTGGCAATATGTAATTTTTATTGACAGCCACTTCAATTTTAATAAATAGTACTGGACTTTCAGAGTAGGAAAAAGCATTTTCCGATAACCCATCTAATCAAGCTTCACCTTCATTCCTTCTCAGAGCCTTTTTTTCTTGTGTTTTCTTTTTTTGGAAACAGTTTGCATAGTAAGTTAGTAATTGGCTTCTGTGTAACCTTCTAATACACTTGAGTGAAGGAAATGAATGGCATTTGGGCCATCGACTTAAATGGTTCCCATGGCTTTTACTGGTAGCCGTGGGACTACTGAAAGATAACGTGGATTGCCACGAGCATTCTTCTCTTTCACACCACTTGGTCGAGCTATCGCTCTTGGGACAAATGACCAAAGCTTGCTCAGAACATCTGCACCTAAAGTTAGATTCTCAAGCGCTGTCCTTTCCCACCCGTGGCAAAGAGAACACAGAGTCAGGGCACCAGCTTTACAGGTTTGTCTGCGTTTCCTCTATACGTACAGTCCCCATTGTTACGTTGCATGGCACTGTTGGCTTCTATCTGCTGACTTTAGGACATTTCCCCATTGTTACGTTGCATGGCACTGTTGGCTTCAAATGTCCTAAAGTCAGCAGATAGAAAAAGGACATTTTTATGACATCTGTAACATTCCTCCTTGAATGCTGTCATGCTTTCTTACAAAGAGTGGGGGTCCCAGGTAAAAGTAAATAAATGTCGTTCCCAGGTGCTTCAAGTGGACTGTGCTTTCTTGCAACTCTGGCTCACTTGCAATCTCTTCTTTTCCCTTCCTTTCTCTACACGTGCTGCATGCTGCATGCCAGAGTGAGGATGAAGAAACGGATTACGATATGAATGACTCAGATTAAGTGTAAATGTCATGGTGAGCACTAGCTGCCCTAGGATTTTACCCAGATGCTTTTCTGCCCTATCCAGCTCCTACCCCCACTAGTGCTGTCCTTTGGCTAGTCCTGGTGGCGTGTGTGTTTGTGATTATAGTTGTGGCATGGTTAGCAAAGATAGAATTCCTGTGCTGGATATTGCTTCTTTGAAAGACTAATTAGTGTTGCTGTTACAAGCTGTGTTGTGACTGGTTCCTTTAAAGCTTTGCTGAGAAGAAGAGTTGTTCGTGTAGATTCTAGGGTTAGAATTGCATTTATTTTCCATGCACCAGCTTTTGTGTCAAATGTTTGGGGTTTTTTTACCTGCAGAGGGATCCGATACAAACTCAGAGTATGCATTTTCAGTAAATGTCTGATTTGGCAATCAATTAGCAAACCTGCCTGAATTGTAACATAGGCAAAAGGTGGTCTTAGCTGATAATCTTGAAACTAGTAATTTTTTAATCAGGACCTGGAAAATACAAGTAAATAGTGTGATCTCGGTGCTCCAGTTCTATTTATCACAGGCAACAACTCTCCCTGGGGAGGGATCAGGTCCTTTCCGCTGTACTTTGGCATCTTATTGAAGGTCAAAGTACTTTAAAAGTCACAAGGGGAAGAACAGAGAAGTTGCATCAGGAAGAACAATTTCTGCAACCTTCTCTCAATGTGTCTGCAGGCACTGTTCGTGTTTATTCTGCCATCTGATTCTGGGAGGTAATTTGTAATTGAGTGTTCAGAGGTACAGCGTGCAGGTAGTCACTTGACCCTGTATGAATCAAAGACATTTACCACTGCATGGGATTGAACTCCGGCTTCTCACCTATACACCTGAACCTGTCAGCTGGAAAGCAGCCTTACACTTACCTCTGAAGTGTTGCTTCTGCATGGCTGAAGAAGAACCAACATTATTTTCTTAACTGATGCCGACAGCAACTACAGCTGAGGTAGAATATGTTTTTTTGCCAAGTCTTCAGGAATGGCTGCAAGGAATGGATCACATCTGAAGCTTTACTGAAAACTGGCACTGCACTGGAATTGAATGCAAGGTTCTTAAACTGCCTGAGACACAAACAGTCCTTAAAACACTATTCTGTCTGCATCAGATTTATTTTCAGTGGGAGGAAATATTTCTCACATTACGTTTCCCTAAGAAGCGATTGTACTCAGGCCGCTAGGATATGAGAGTTCATTCAGTGTTGTTTAGAGTTTATAAAGTCAGCTTTGGATTTGGTGCACCTGGAGGAAAAACAGAACAGAAACATGAAAAGAAAGAAAATTCTGAACACAGCAGATCTGCCCCAGGGTCGGGACAGTGCCCAGTGTCAGTACAGAGTGGGCAATGAATGGACGGAGAGCAGTGCTGCAGAGGAGGACGTGGGGACACTGGTGGGTGAAAAATTGGGTATGAGCCAGCAACGTACACTTGCAGCCCAGAAAGCCAATTATCTGGAGCTGCATCCCCAGCAGTGTGGCCAGCATCACAGTGATGCTGTGACCTGAAGTGTGTGGGCAGAGGAGCATTGTTAGGGAAGTCGCCTCCTGAGCTGGAAGAGCATGTCCTCAAACAGAAACTTCTTCTGTGCCTGGTTCTGCTCCAGGCACAATCCTCAATCCTGGCTATTAGCGGTTTGGGAGAAGACCTGCCATGACTGTTTTCAAACTTTATTGACCTCTGTTAGTGTCGAGATACCTTCTCTTGGCATTTTTGCCCAGTAAGCCACTAAAAATTTTAGGGATAGTCTTACTAAAGGATTTTTCAGGAAAAAAGGAGGAATTCTGAATTGCAGAACAGAGTCACTCATCCTTCCAGTATTTAGTAAGTACAATTTTGATAGAATTCCTGATAATTGAAATGCAGTTTCCTCTCTGGACAAAGTCACTGCACATGACTGCAAAAGATCCTCTTTCAGGCAGCTTCTGCAAGGTGTCTCGTGAGTGCTTACTGCTCGGGGTTATTTCCCATTAGTAAAGGCAGGGGTTACAGAGGAAGTACCAAGCAAAGTGTGTTAAAATATTGCCTGAACTGACAGAATGCAAAGTTCAGCATCCAGATCTGGCTTAGCTTTATCTTATTGGATGTGTTCCTGAAGCAACAGAAAATAGTTCTAAGTCTGTTCATCTTAGAAGTATTTTTTGTCTTCTAGGAAAGAATAATCTCAAGTGTTTCATTTTAAGTTGGAAGGATTCACAAAATGAACAAATCCATCATTATGTGCTGGCTTCAGCTACGTCTTTGCCTCTGTTGGAGGTTGTGTTGCTTACAGAGGGCATTTGCTGGGTCCAGCTGTTCCCTGCTCTGTGGACGTCTCCTCCAGTGCTTCCTTCTCAGCTGTGACCAACAGGAAATACTCAAGGAAAGAGCTGAAGTATGGAGCATTTATGAAATTAACTCCTGATATATTTGCCCACCTTCCGCTAGGCCTCAGTTTAGGAATTTTGGCTTCAGGCCTGTATGTATGAAAGCTACAGTGACCCTGTGATACCATGAGTAGGTATGGAAGGCTCTGTCTTCTCTAAGTTTGTCCAGTCCCTTTTAAATGTATTATACTGGTAGTTGCTAAGTGATTTTCAGGGCCTGGGTTTTCCTCACAGAATTCGATTCTACTTTTCCTACAGTTTCAGATTAAATGCTTTTTGATTAGTACACATAGTAAATTATCTTAATATATCTAAAATATACACTAAAGCATGTCATGGCCCATGGGAAACATCTTTCTGTATTTTGGAAATGTATCAAAGTAGCTGCAGTGACATCTGGCTTCATAACCCCAAAAAAATGATATGATTTCATTTCATTTGAAATGAAAAGGAACTTTGTACACACAAAGCAAGATCCAGGTACTGCACGAAGTGCAGTGAGCAAGTGGTAAAGTGGATTTATTTATTTATTTATTTATTAAGCTCCCACTGCCTCTGAACCATCCCTGAGGCGTCCAAATGGTGACAGGTTCTTTATGAACTCCAGTCCTTAAAAAAAACTGTGGAATTGTGCGAAGCAGGGGAAACCCTACTTGACCACAGTCACTAGGTAAGACATACTAGGCTTGATGACTGACAGAGGCTGATGGGTCAAATTATCAACATTTTAACAGTATTAAAAATAATACCTAGACTTCTTTTATTTAAAACCACACAAGAAACAGCTGTGCTGTGCTAAGTGGTTGCCAGCCTTTGTCCTGAAGTGTTTGCGTGTGCTCCCTGATTCCGTGGGTCCTCTGGGATGTAGTGTGTTACTGCAGACTGGCATCGGTGTTTGTCAGGATATCAGGCTGCACTGAAGTCATCACAGGAGGAAATTCTGCATTGGAGACAGCTATGCCGTGGTCCAGGGGTTGTGCCTTTGCTTTCTTTCAGCTTTTGGAATCAAGAGCCCTTCCCAGTACCAGGAAAACTGTCAAGAAGCAAAAGAAAATGAAGAATCATTAGAGATACCTTTACTTACAGATTGACATTGTTAAGAACTTGCTCTCAGTGCGTTGGAAGCTTTGCTTGATCTGGCTGCCGACACAATTGGTTCTACAGTTTGCTTGAGGGCTCCCCTGCAGTACTGCGCAGCCAGGAGTTGACCTCGTTATTGCTGATTGCTGTCCAGGTTAGCGTGGCAACATGAGAAATGTTGTTGCTCGAATGCAGTGCTGAGGCTTGGATCCTTTCCTCGCTGGAGGAGCCAAAGAGAATCGAAACAGAAAAGGAAAGAATAGTCAAATTGTAAGTGGAATAGGTGGTCTTCATGGTGTAAAACACTGTAGACAAGGATTCCTAGGTTTTTCAGGGGTAGATATTTCGTTTCCATTAGACTTCAGTCCCTGTGTTTAATAATGTGCCTTTTAAAGTGAGTATTAAACAAACCAACTGCTTTTAGGAAAAAAAAAGTCCTTTTACTCACTGTAGTGGGAATCTCAGTTCCTTGGTAACTGGGAAAATCAAATTCCTTAGACAGAATTTTAGAGAAATAATTCCTCCACATGAAGTCAGAGCCTGCATTGCCTCTCAGCTGCCTGCTCAGGCATTTTGAAGGATAATGACGGACAAGGCAACACATGAAAAGTTCAGTGTGCTGGGGCCTGTGTCCACAGAAACAATTTTCATTTGGACAAGGATGCCTAAAAAACTTGTGAGATCTTGCATGAACAAATCATATTAATATAAAAATATTTCAAAACTGCTGTCAGAGTAGTACTTATTCTCAGGTAGTTGGTCCGGCTGATAAGCTTTGTATGTCTGAACAGTAGAGTAAAAATCGGTGAAGAAGTGTAGTTGGTTGACTTTAGTTCATGCAAAAGACCAAGCCTGGGCATCTGTTTCAGATTTAGAACCAGTCTGTTGATTTAAATCTTGCCAGCTCGTACTCCTGGCCTGTGAAAAGTTCCTGTGATATCTCACCCAGTGCTATTTGTGCATATTAGGAGTTGCTAGCTCGTGTTTGCAATGCTAATTTATGGGACACAATTTGCAGCTGAAACTTCAGTGTTAAGGACATTTTACTGGGACAGGAAAAATGAAGATTAAATTCAATTTCTAATGAAATACCTGAGTTCATTTACCACACAGGACCTAAGTATCTTCAGAACTAGGATGAGTGAAATGGCTTACTTGTTACCTCCACCAGCCCTTCAGCTGTGGTTGTATTAATCACCCTCAGTTCCCAGCAGTGATTTACCTCTGTTTTCATGATGTTGGTAGTAGACATTGTATGTATCAATCTGTCTTTTTTTCAGCCTTAAAGCACAGACTTCAGGAATGTCCTTGAACCAGCTCCATGGTACTTTATCAGTTATGTGAAATAGTCGCTGCGTTGCTCTTTGACCTCCACGCTTTAGGAATGACATTGAGTGAATTTTCATTTATCAGATTTTTATTGGTCTGTTTCAGATTTTGCAAGAACGAGGTTCCAGGATGTGAAGACAGTATTGAACAGTGACAATTTTTTCTCTTTTACTCCAAGACGCAGTGAATTGTCACACTGAAGAGGCTTGGCTGCAAAAGAAAAAATCCGATTTAGACAATTTTCTGTTGATCTGGGTTCAACCGTTTTTGCCTATAAGCTGGTGTCAACTGGCTGAAAGCATTGCGAGATTACATGATGGGAATAGATGGTGTGGGAGTGTGTGTTAAGTTTTGGTTGTAGTGCATGGTTGTACTCTCTCGTGGGGTGACTGACACCGGTCATTTGAAAAGAAATGACCATGCACTCACATTTTCCTCTGAGACATGTAGCACTTGATGTCTGGTGCTGGATGACCCAATGTTGATCGGTTTGGAGGCATTTTCCTACTAATCATTGTAAACATTTAAAGGACAATGTAATTGGTGCTACACACACACACACACAGACACACACACACACACATTACAGCCCACAAATGCAACTACTTGGGCCTGCGTTGTTCCAGAGCAGTGGCGGCCCCAGCTGACCGTGTTATACTGCACATTCCTTATGGCTCTGTGATGTTCTCTATTATGGAATAACAGCCTAGGAGATAACTGAAATGAGCACGTAAAAAGCTACACAAGAGACAAAAGGTTTCTTTAAAAGAAGGGTGTATGTATTGACTGGATTTATAGCATATTTTAATACCCAAAGGGAAGACTAAACTCAGAGAAAATGGCCTTCATCTGAGTTGCTCTTGATGTTCCTTCTGTTAAAACAGTCTCATCCTGCAAACGGTATGCTCCAGTCTCAACCAGATGTTTGGAAGGGGAATCAAAATTCACTTAAAATGAACAACTGAACATTCTGTTTCTTTCGAGATGTTTGTACTCGCGTGTTTGTGCTTTTATAAAACGCCTGTAAGCATTGAGCTCTGAGGTTTATGGTAGAGATTTTTCAAGAGCTGGAGGCTGTACAGAAATACGGCTGGCTGCTCCTAAACCCCTCTTTCTATGACTGGGATTAAAATCAACCTTGAGTGTGAACACAAGCTCACCCCATTGAAAAACTTAATTATTTCAGACATTCAGGATACCTGTAATCAGTCTTTCTCTTTCCGTACTGTTTCAGCTATGCAGTTAAAGAACACTGTTTGAAAACATCTGGTGCAGCTTTATTAGTTTGTCCTTGATGAAGGCTAATGCACAAGACTGGAGCTTTTTTAATACACTATGTTTTGAGCAAAACCTTTAGCACATCTTTAAAACACTTAACGAACTTGACAGTATAAAACTCAGCTTCATTGGCTTATGAAAGCAGTGGAAGGGAGTTTCAAAAGGCTACGAGATTGGTTTGAATTCTAAAGACATTGCAGTTTTCGTTCTTGGTAATGTCAAAATTTATGCATGTGCTCTAGGTAATCCTTGACACAAAAGCCTGATTTCCAAACACCTAGGGTCTACTTTTTTTTTTTTTTTTTTAAATTAAAGGACTTATTATACATTGATAAAAGTTTGGCAGAAACAATTTGTAAAAATCATTTCTACTAAGCAGGTTAAGCAATGGGCTAAATGTTTTGCCCATGCATACAATGCTTGAAAGGGTTTGTAATGCATTTTGCGACTCGGATGTGGTCTGCACGGGAAGCTGCCGGCCCCTCCACAACAACACGTAAAACGTTTGTCTTTTTTTAAGATGTTAAAACTGAATTGAATTTACTAAAAATGTAATTGTGTAGGGGGAAATGTTTATACTTTTATACTTTTTTAGGCACCCATATTTTATCAGCTTAAATTTAGCACCCAAATTTCCCCGAAATAGTAACAGATTATCTTGTGTATCTGAAAATAAGCGTAACAGTTGTCTGTGTTAACTGCGTATTAAAACGTTTCCTCTGCTGCAGTAGTCGCTGTGTTTCTAAGGAGAATGACTCCACCAAATTCTCTGAGCTCCCTGGCTCATGGAATTGCAGCCAGCCACGATTCTTCTTGTTCTCTTGATGTGCTCTACAGAGGGATTCGGCATTGGCCTAGGTGGATTTTAATGCCTGCAACACCCGTTTTACAACAATCCTTCTGAATCAGCATTTCTGTTGTCTCTCTTGTTTAACTCAAAAAAGACAGAGTATTGTCTTTCATAAAGTGAAATTTTGAAGAGTGACAGCAACAAAGCATGAGTAACAAACTGAGCAAACCACAAATGCAGAGTATGTGAAAGAGAGGGGGTTTCTAAGTATGGGTTTTTCACTGGAATATTTTCAGTTTCAAACCATGCTTTTATGGTGAGATTCCCTGCCCTCTGGTTAACATCGTACCCCTCTTGTAGCAAAGTTGGGGGAAATGAGTGGTTAATCATTTTGCACTTTGTTTCCAATACCTCACAAAGACTTTAAGAAAAAAAGAGAACTTTAGTAGGCAGGTACCTTGTAAATTATTTTAAATACGCTGCTGTTTGAGACCACCTTAGCAAACTACTTTCCTGTTCTTCCGAACTGCATCATTGCTTTAATTTTTGTGAACATTTGAGGCTTTCAGACAGGTGGAAGTGCTACCGTATGCCTTTTTCAAGGCATTAAGAATTGATCCCTAAATGAGTTCGGTTTCTTTTTATTTGACTCTTGTAATTTCAAATAAAGTCAGCTACAGCAACAAGGTGATCGTATCAGAGTCCAGTCGACATCACCAGGTTTGGCAGACGTTGCTTGTCTGTTAAGATCTTGCAGGATGAGGTAATGCACCAATAGGGTTTACACTGGAGTCCTCTCTGCTGCTTTTCGGTCATTTGGGGAGCATTTACCACAGGAGAACCATCCATGACTGCATAAAGCTGATGGGTTCGCTCGGGGCTGTACTTGAAAAGCTGCAGCACAAAGCATTTGGTGTGAACTCTGGATTTACACAGCCCCTCTGTTCTTAAATCAAAACAGTATTCCAGGTTAGCATTTAAGATCCTGAGCTCATGAAAATGTAAATTCTGTGAGAGATTCAGCTTTCTGCCCTATTCCTATGTGAATATTCAGTGAAGTTTGGTGGTGGTGTCCGTGGAACAGGAAGTTACGTCAGTGGATGATCAGTGGATTTTCAGTGAAATTCCTTAAAGGCTTTTACAGGAGAAACTTCTGGCAAAACTTGTTTAGAAACGGAGTTCAAATTTACCATAGCAATTCCTTGCTTTGAGTTAGGAATCAGCGTGCTGTTGACCTGAAGGTTCATCAGAGGCTAATTTTCTGTATTGGAGATGACATTTTTATATTAAATGCTTTTGACTTTTTCAAGCAGCGATTAAATCCAAAATCAGAGTTTATCTGCAATGAGCAAGTCATTCTGAGGCCTCTAAGACATGAATGTCACCAGGTCCATAATAGCTGTCCAGAAGCATAGTCTGGCTCAGCAGCTCCTACAATAAAAATGTGAAATAGATTTTTTTTTTTTTTTTTTTTAACAAAAGACAAAAGGTTACCTGGAATTTTCTCCCACTACTGTGGAGTTCCCATGGACTATGGCTAATCGCAGTTTGTTATCACGCAGTAATTTAATTGTGTGTCAAAGGCTTGATTGTACTTAGCAGCTTATATTGATTCTCAACTAAACTTTCAGTCCTCAGAATCGCACACTGAGAAAATTTGAGAAATGTACTGTGGTTTTTTTCAAACTCAGCTAGGTTTCTTGTAATAATAGAAGTTCCTTTCATCTTTCATTGTAGCATTAGTGAAAGATATTTCTTAACAAAGTGAGCTCGATGTGTCCATCCAACTTCTTTGTCTTCAGATTTTCTTTAGGCAGTAGCTGTGTTGCTCCATTTCTAGCAGCGTGAAGGCAGTTGTGACGAGTTAGAAACAGGACTATTTCCTGAAGATACCAAAACTGAATCAACCTCCTCTTTCTCTCAGAGAGGGCTTTTTTTTTCAGGAGAAGAACGGAAACTTCCAGCAGATTAAACAAATCCTGATTGCAGGCACGCTTAGGGAACAGGTCTGCTGAGGAGGATGACGGTGTTTTCAGACAACTGCTGGGAACAGGACACTGTATGCTGCGGACGTCTGTTGAGGTTGGTGAGAGCTGCCGGTCTCTGAGCAGCAGAGAGCTTACCACTAGGAAATGAACACACATTAATTACGGATTACTATTTTTATTAGTATTACAAAAATGAACTTGGCATGCAGAAGTGAAGTGCTGTCTGAGTGACATGACGTAGGAACTGGCTTAGGTTGCATATTGTCCCATCACTCAGACAGGCTGGAATGCGTTCCTTGAGACGTACTGGGAGAAAAGTGAAGTACTGGGCTCTTCATGGAGGTCAGAGTGAAGTGGAGCCTGGAAATGAAGCCTGAGACTTTGTTCACTTGAGATAAAATCAGAAAGTGGTGTTCTCTTATTTTATTCTCTCTCTTGCCACATCAAAAGCATCTTTCAGGTTTTTCAAGTTAACTTCTTCAATCCATCCCGAAAGGTGGGGCCCTTGAGCAGAGATTGTGTTATGCCTTGAACAGAACCTGCTAGCTCAAGATGGATTAAAACGTCCTGGTCATTGGAGAAGCATCTTGTAAGGCAACAGTTCTGAAATGCAGACAGTCTGAGGGTGCCACCTGCTACTTCATTGCAGTTTCGACTGCAGTTAGCTCCAGCTTCAGGGACAATCTCAGGGTCTTACCTGGGTTTGTGTGTAGAATTATCAATTCTTAAAATAGTATAAATACTCAGTTTGAAAAAAAAAAGTGGAAGGTTCTCTGAACTCAGTGTCATATCACTTATTTCTCTTGGTTCACAACAATCAGGATCTGCCTTTAAAGGCTGCTTACTGGACTGAGGTTTTAAAGGGCTAAATAGATCTTGTTCAGTTTGTCCAAATGAGTGCCAGGCAGAAGGAACTCTTTCCATTTTCAGTGCAGAAATGCTAAGGGCTAAAATCCTTTCCAGGGCTAAGTTGAAGTTCCGGAGACACATGACGTTTCAAATGCAGCTTAGTCTGTTTTTCTTTCAACTCACGGACTCTAAAATAGTATTTACAAATGGCTGAACCAATTGCAGATGTAAGTGTTCATACGTGGCTCAGCATTTCGGTATCCAGCTTGGTGAGGAATACACCAGAGAAGACAGTATGCTCGCCCACCACTTCATTATCGCCTGTGTTGAAATCTAACAACTTTTATGAACAGCACTGGCAATAGAGAGACTTTGAGGAAGATTCTGCCCCAGGAAATTATCACTGAATATTTCATTGCGACCTCGGTGTCCTTCACCTCAGCAAGGTCTACCAAGGCATAAACTCCTCAAAGGTTCAGCGGCTAGATACTGCTGCAAACAGAGCTTTCTGAGCCCATCAGAAGTTCCCTTTAGGATGCTGCGTGTTAATAACTACTGTAATGAGAGAAACTTCAGAAAGTTATTTTGCTGCTTTGGGAGTGAGTGAAAGGGGTTCTGTGACAGTGCTCTCCTGCCTTAGAAAGCTGAGCCTAAATTTTAACCTGACTTAACACCTGTTGAGATTTCCAGGCCTGCTCATCTGAAATGTAAGAGTTAATGTATTTCTGTACATGAGTCTTGCTCCTTTTGAGGATTTTCCAGAAGCTTATGCACAACTTCACTCAGACTTAACTTGGCTTGTGTGTACTCGCTAGGATGAAGTAGGTACCAAGGCTTTGCAAGAGAAATGTTGCCAGCCGGTCTACCTGGAACTGAAACAAGATCACCCCACGGAAGGAGTCGATGGCAAGTTTGCCCCCTGCTTCTGTTCCAAGCCTCACCTGAGCCTAGCTATGACAAATCTATCCCCTACGGTCTCTCTAGGCCCACCTACCCAATTCAATGGATGCTCTTTTTCCCCACCCCCACAAACCACTGGTCTCAAAACGAGTTGTGCATCAGCTGTTTGTGTTAACATCCCAGTGGCCGTACTGGCAACGTTATTTCCTGGATAGTGGATTAGCAATAACACTTTATTTGTGCCAATTCATTATCTCTGAAGTGTTCTTACTGCAGCAAAGTTTGAGTTTTGATCTGGTTTTAATGCTTTTGCATTAGCCAAAACTTTAGCACAGACATAGACAAGAAACTGAATACAGGGAATTTCCCTGGACAAAGATCTGCTAGGGCTTCCCGAGTCATTTGAAGATGGTTACAGTTAACCATCATTTTCAAAACAAACATACAATTAAAATGTGTGGGTATTTTTTAACCTTCTTTTCATAACACTAATGTATTGTAAACTGCATGAAATAAACCTGTTTTTTCCCTTTTAAAGGCTGATGTCTTAAGTCTTTCTTTTCTAAATCCATTCATGTTGACACTAACAGTGCGGTATCACTGATGTTTCTAGTGTAGCAGCAGATATAAAATGTAGTTGCATTTCTGTGCAGCGATTCAAAGCAGCAATACCCTTTCCTTTGTAAAGGAGACGAAGCCTCTTCTGCTGCCCCAAAGACTTTGCCACAAAAAAGTCATGTTTATTAAGACATATCCGCTGAGAAATGAAGGTATTTTCCTTTGCGCTTACTGTGGCTGTTGCCGATCATTACAGCAGGAAATAGTCCCCTCTGGTAGGGGTATGTAATCACACAAAAAACCACATACCAAGCTGTAACTAATCACTTTGCATACATTTATTTCACAAATCACCCTGCCTGACATCACAGATTTATTTTAGAATCCAGTGCTTTGCTTGTAATATAAACGCTGCTTTTGTCTGAAAAATTAAGCTAACTGAAATGGATGCTTTGCAATAAGGCCAACGTATAATATAAGGGACGTAAATAAGAAACCACTTAGTACATGTTGGCTGCAAAAGTTTTAAAGATGGAAATGGCTGAAGGAGATAAATGGTTAAGTACCAAGTGCAGGCTGCTGAAATTACTCGGGTGGTTTGGCAGCTGTGTCCTTTACAAGTATAGAAAGGTTGGTAATTCAGTG